ATCAATGACAGTATATTCGTGGGAACGGGTGGTCAGCACATGGGGTTGGGATCTCTGGAGGGGGTCCGGGCAGCCATCGAGCAGATATCGCTCCGAACTCATGGTTAGTGACCTTGCTAGTATTACTAATCTAAATTATATGAAAATTGTTATTTTTAAAATTTTAAAAATTTTTAGCACTAGTATTCAAATTCAAAATTTACAATTTACTTTTACAATTAATTATACTAATAAAACTTTTAAATAACTAAATATACTGTTTTAGATTTTAAAATGTATAACAATTGCCATGTATTTCCCCCAAATAGGCGGTCACTCGACGAGCACCTACTCGTCCAACTACTCGGGCTCTGAATACGAGCCCACATTCCGGCGACTCATACGCCACTCGAGCCTCGAGACGATCGGTACGAACATCACGAGCGCCGGCGACGACTTCGTATGGGTTGACACCCACTCCCGACTCGTGGAGTTACAGCACATCCCGTGGGACACGAGGGACGTCCTCACAGTCATACAGGAGGGCCGACTCCAGCACCAGTTGAGCCGCATATCCATGGATTGTGTGCCCCGTCTGTCATACCTATTGCAGCGCCCGTTAGTCCGCATCGCCGTTGAGGCCCAACGACTCGCCAAACCTTTAGGTGATTATCAATGACTTGTATTTTACTAGGAATAGCATTGAGTGAGAGGACCTTGATGCTAATTTTTAAAATGCTATTCTACTAATAGAAAAGTAAAATAAAAGGATTTTATGTTAATAATCTGATTTGTATACCGTAGCCATTAAATTGTGATATAATTATCACTAGTATTTTTACGAATTATTTGTTATTAATAACAGTTTTTAGTTTAATACAAAATTAATAAAAAGTAATTAAAATTTTGATACACAAATTATCTGATGTTATTTGGGACCAAGTTTATAAGTTCACATTTTATACGTAATATCTATACAAAATTGTTGAAATAAATAACAGTTTTTAGCATTAAGTAAATCATACCTAATATTGAAAATAATTAATTAATTAATTTTTATTTCATTCATAGGTTTATGTACTAAACACGAGGTATGCGGTGCCGTACGGGTGCTGTTGAGCGCACAGTTAGCCGACACGTGTGTCAAATCGGGTCACAGGGCGGCCGCCATATTTGCGGTGAGCGGAGGGCCCGACACCTTCCGCCAGTCCAAGAGTGGTCGGGCGGGTCTACAGCTGTCGGTCGGCCGCTTTCACCGATGGATGTGCGACACCCGTATGGGACAGTATGTCGACGAGTACTCCGCCATCTATATGACCGGTGCGATGGAGAACCTGTTGGAGGAGATTATACTCCACTGCCTGTCCATCACTGGCGCCGACTGTATACTGACGGCCAGTCTCTTGGATACCTGTGTCGCCAATAACACCGACTTTTGGGGTGTTTTGCAGCCCTTCGCTCATCTCATAGCCGGCCGTACGGCTAACGGTGTGCTATCACTGCCGCCGGGGCTGCAGATTACGGGCACCGGTAGTGCGAGTGTCGAGAGCACCGGTAGCACTGATGGTAGCAAAACGAGTGCCATAAAGGGTTTGGAGCAGAAACTGTTGACTACTTGCGTGGGAAGTGTCCAGCAATTAGGTATTCATTGATTATTTTAAAAACATCTTAAAATCAAATATAATATTTCTGCTAAAATTACAAAATGATATTTCAACTTTGCTTTACAATTAAAGTTTACCTACTGATCACCTACTGTATATAAAAGCAAAGTTGACACACTCATTTTGTTACTTTATATCATTTAATTTTAAATACAGAAACACAGATAGTGTTGCAATAGTTGAGATAACTTTTATAATTTGATAATAATTAGTAAAATAGATTTTAAAATATTAATACTTTTTATGTTTCAACCAAAATAACTAAATTAACTAAAAATCATAAGATTTAATTAAAATTTACAACACATTTACAGTTTTTTAATAAATTAAAACATTACAAAATTTACTGATTAATTATTAATGAGTCATTATGAATGCCCTTGCTCATTCTAGACGAGATCATCTCGAGTGTGAGTCAATACCGGGTGTCAAACCCGCAGACAGTCTACCGGCGAAACGGACACAACTGGTGGTCAACCCATCACTGGTCGATGGCTTCCCTCCACTCCCTATACTATTACATGCGTTGCGCACAATTAGAGCACAACCAGTGCGCACCGGTAGCCGACCCGACCGGTCAGACACCTCTGTCCCAGGAGTTGGTATACGAGCGGCCATTCCTGGTGTTACCGCCGCTGTACGAGTGGATGCGTGTCTGCGCAGCCCATGCCTACTACCGGCGCTGTCCTGTCATTGATAAGGACGATGTGTTACAAGCGGCCAGGCTACTTTTGCCAGGTATGACACGTTAGAGCATTTTGTTTATATTTAATTACATGTTGATTTAAGTTTTAAAATGTATACAAATAATTTATAATTTTAATCCGGTTAATTATAAACGAGAAAAACAAACTAGATAAAAATAAAACCATAGTGATTGAGAGGTGAATGGTGTCCCAAAAGTTAATTTAATTTTAATATTTAAATAAAATATTTATTTTATATCTGAAAAATTACAGTTTTATAATAATATATTATATTTTGTATTATCACTAGTATTGTAGTAATAGTCAAATATATTAAATAACATTTCAAACCCCATAACAGGCATCGACTGTCCCGTCCGACCCCTGACCCCCACGACCAGCGAGGAGTGGCTGTACTTTAGGCCAGACCTGGACGCTAGTGAATGCCTGCGCCGACTGAAAGTGGAACTGGCGTTCCGTATGTTGAGCTGCGGTCGGCCGGACGTACTGACCCACGCCCTGCAACTCCTGCCCCACAACACCGGCATTAATACCGTCGACGACTCCGGGCTAACGGCGCTAATGCGCGCCTGTATTGCCGGTGATATACGACTGGTGCGGGTGTTGTGCGACGCCAACTGCGACGTGAATGTCGAGACACCGGCCCCACCGACCCATAAGAATAGGGAACGGTATGGCAGTAACGGACACGTGATGGCCGAGACTCAGCACTGGACGGCGTTGTGTTACGCGTGTATTCACGGGCACCGGGAGATCGTCAACATATTGCTGGATATGGGCGCCAATGTCGAGGGTATGTATTCGTGTAATATATTTAGTATACCAATAAGTTAACCAGATCAATTAATTATAAAATAAAAATATTTTAATATTGATATCCATGTGGCAATAATACCCATATTAATTATTTAAGGTTTTATAAAATAACTATTAATTATAATTTTAGACCAGATCTTTTACCCCCACGTAGACAAACTAGCTTGATCAATTAATATGAAATATAATTTTACATATCGTTTACAGAATATTATATATAAATATTATTTATTTTATCATAATTATATGAAAATATCTATATTTTTTAAATAACAATACCGTTCCCTCCCTGTCCCTAATCAGGCGGTTACCGATACGGCGAGGAGATGGCCACTCAAACACCACTACAGTTGGCCGCCAGCGCCGGTCGTATAGACATCGTAAAAGTGTTGCTGACATACGGCGCCGACCCCTACCTCACCACTACAGTCAACGACTCGGCGGTCGCCCACTGCTCGGCCTCCCGGGGCTCGTCGTCAGCCATAGCTTTGGCCGCAATGCACGGCCAGCAGCTGGTGCTCAGAGCACTGGTAGTTCAGCCCACGTATGGCCACAACAGTAGCTCCCATAAGGATGTGCTCTCTCTGGAGGAGATGTTAGCCGAGGGCCGGAACAGTAGTGTCGACAGCCGGCGCCCCCGGATTCAAGTGGTGGCCACCAATCAGAGTCAGTCCAGTCTGAACACCAGCGATGGCGGGACTCCCGGTGCCGGAGGACACTCCCCGGAGGGCAGTAGTAGTGGTAGTAATCAGAAAGTGATTCAATTAACAAAACCAAAGCTAAGGGCACTCCAGGAGGCGATGTATCACTCGGCAGAGGGCGGGTGTCTCGAGATTACACTCGACCTCAGAAATATCGGTGAGTGTATGAGCAATGAGCTTGGTGCAATATTATGCTTTAGTTTCAGTGCAAAAATTAAAGAGGTCTTGGCTCTCGTCCATTATTTGCATTTTTAAACTAATTCAATAATTTTTATATTAATCTAAAACTACATTACAGTTTTTGATAAAATAAATAATTAATGTTTGCGAGCTAGGTGCAAAATGAACGTCTTATATCTTGAGACAGTGAGATCCAACTCGTCCAATTTAAAATTTAGTTAATTCTTGTACAGTATTATAAAAATTAGTGTTACGGCATAATCTCCCAAGATACTTTATCGTTATTTAAGTCAAGACTATTAAAATGGATGTTTAAAACTTTACAGTTTAAAATAAGCACACATTAAATATGATTATAAAAATATTATCATATTTAAAATGATATTAATTTTTAAATATTATTAATGTGTGGCACAGGTATCCCGTGGACAATGCACACGTGGATGCAAACGGTGGGCACGACTCACGCCATGCGATTGGATGCCATCACCTCACAGTTGCTGCAAGACTTCACGCATTTGTGGTGCGATGACTGCAGCACTCATTTCATAGACCAATGTCTCCCACTTTTGTTCACTATTTTCAGACATCAAAAGGTTTTCACGGAATTCACAGAATATTCTTCAATACCTATACTAATACTCACATCACTTGCCTATAATAGCACAACACGGGCACAGCCCTACTGTTGGCCGACATAATCAGCACGTGTTATGGCCGACAAGCGGTGAAGTGCCGGCCCCTGAGCGCCAGTTTCGCGAACGGGTCGGACGTGAGGGTCGGCGCCCGGATTGACGCCAAATACGTCAACAATAAGGATATGTCTGACTGTGTGTTCAAAGTGGAGAACCGCCTGTTTTTTGCCCACAAAATCATTTTAGTGAACGCAAGCAAACGCTTTCATAATATGCTCACCACTGGTGCCCATCAGACTACCGGTGCTCCCGATGGTGGCAACGGGTCACCGCCGCAACAGTCGGCGCCCATTGTTGTCAATGATATCCGCTTTGATATATTCCAGGTATGGCTCAACTGAGTGTTTATTATTATTTTTTTATTTTAAACATTTATTTTATTTTTCTACATTTGACTAAAAATATTCATACTTTTCAGACCAATAAATTATTATTTGTAATAAAAGCTGTTAATTTAGGATTGTTGAATTAGTATTACAGTTTTGAATTTTAATTTACTCTATTATAAAATAGTTCAAGTTATTAAAATATTATTACTAGTAAATTATATTTGGTTTAATATAAGAATTACAACTAAATATATTATTCTCTTGAATATATACAGTATATTATGTACTGTATTTTGATTATCAGGTATAAAAATATAAAAATATAATAAATAATAAACTGCCCCCAAGTGCCATACAATATATCATGATAACATTTGATAACATATTTAGTATATGTTATTGATTTATTATTACAGTTACTACAGTATAACAAAATATACTTTAATTAGTGAATAAGATAATTATAACATTAAATTATATTAATTATAATTTTACAATATTTTTGCAGAAAGTAATGCAATTCCTATATAACGGAGGTTTCGATACCGACTCAGACGTCGACCAAAACGATATTCTGGAGGTATTTCACGGAATATTCTTTACACACAAAAACCAATACTAATACCCATTTGCCTGATCCCTGTCCACAGTTGATGTCGGCGGCGGCCTATTTCCAATTGGACGGCCTCTTGCGGTACTGTAGCCGCCGGTGCTGTGACTGCGTGTCTGAGGACAGTGTGGTCTCGCTATACATGAATGCCATTCAATACAATGCCTTAGAATTGATGCAATTCTGCCAGAAGTATATGTTAGAGAATTTGGTGCCATTGCTAGAGCGCGACCCCCAGATTAGCCAGCTACTATTTCAAGGCAGTAGCAAGGTCAACATCACCAATAAGCCCGATCATTTGTCTGCCCTATTGTTTACACTACAGCAGAGGTGTCGCGATAGACAGCAACAGGTGCTTCAAAAGCAACAACAAAATGGCGCTAAGAATCAGTTTAGCAGATAATTTGCATGACCATGCTTATTTTTTAATAGTATTTTCTAATTATTTTTATTGTATACTTTATTTAATTATTTGTTATTGTATAATTCATCACTACTTATACCATAATTCATTTTTATTTAAATTATTAATTGTTTTAATATGCTATTTATATCATAAATTAATAATTTGTATTATATAAACTATTTACATTAAAATAAATTATTATTTTACAACATGTAAAATTAGTGAATACGTTGATTAATTGTTGCAAAATGTGGATACCCACAAAATTACAATTGGCAATTTTCAATAATATCCTTATCATATCCTTATCAATATTAGCTTCTAAAAACTCTTTAATGATACATAATACATTAGCGAATAATAATTGTATTAAACCATTTTCTATTATAAATTATATACAGTGTTTGACAAAACCCTTTGCACTCGATGTCTTAATATTACTATATGTTAAAGTTGAGCTAGATCAATATAAAATTTTTGAGAAATATGGTTTTATTGCACCAACATGTTGATATGCCCTATTATGCTCATGTTGATTTAGTATATTATTAAAC